GTTCCAAAAAGCGCGAGCTCCATTCAGCTGTCTAAGGCTTGTCTACACTTCTTTTCCTCCAACCCTCCCGCACCACCCCCCCCCCACTTCTCCCTCCCTCTCTCTCTCTCTCTCTCTCCTCTCTTGCTTTCCTCACTGCAACAACAAAAGATGCTGCTGCTGAGAGCTCTTCTTCTACGTCTTTATCCTCCAACCCCCTTCTTCAAACTTCCAGTGTCTACACGCGCGTTAAGAAGGGGGGGGGGCGGGCGGGAGGGTGTAGATTTTTTACCAATCATTACAACTTCTCTTCACCCACACACACACCCTCCTCTTTCTACTGCTAATTTTCATCTCGTCTCGTCTTAGCGAGTCTTGTCGCATCTTTTTTCTGCGCTCTCCTCTTCACTACCTATCGCTGTAGGAAATTTAAGCGAGTTAAATTAAGCTGGTCTACCGGAAGGGCGATATGGAAATCATATGCTACATAGTCTTGTTTAATTTGAAGAGAAAAAAAGCTGTGGCAACAGAGTTAACATTATTTTCTGGCATGAGTGTTACCCGAGGGGAATGCTATCAATGACTCTTGGCTTATTTGGGAGAAGAGTTTTAGCATTGTCATCTAAGGAATTAGTATCGGCTTTCTGATACATTCCATCCCCCCCTCCCCAAACTCCTCTATTTCTCAACTAGAGTAGTTCACCTAACTGATTACGACATACGACAGAACACAAAATTTAATGTCTTCTCATAGTTTGGAGAAGCATTTACTTATTGAATTTAAAGTATACTTAGAATATAGTATCAGGTTAGGAATAAAATAGCATAAAATCCTTCAACTTTCGACTCACACTAAATGGACCCATAGAAATTCGCACTTGATCAAAAGCGTGATCGTTTGTCAAAACAATTAATACGAATTTGATATAAACCAAAATCAAACAGAAGATCGCGATGACCCTACAATATATTAATCAATGATAGTCAAAGAGAAGAGTCGAACATGGGATTCGACTAAAGAAGCTCTAGCGAGTTGAGTCCTTCCCAAAAGGATGATAATATTGGTAAATTATACATCGCAAAAAGGGATTAACCGATTTTCAAGTAAGTGTCTTTAGGGGTAACTGGTAATGAGTTAGTCATTGGATAAAGCAGACAGTAGTTTAGCTGATAAAAGTCTATATAGAGAAGCCCTCTATATTTTTCTAAGATTGACAGTTCTTTGTCCAAATTTGTTGCTTTCCTGAGTACCTAATCTCAATGTTGACAGTGAAGTTTAGAAATTATAACCACTTTGGTCCACCTTAAAGTAAGTCTCAGCCAAATTAGAATCATATTCAAAGTATACAAATGCCATAATTGAAATTTGTTGTAAACTTTCAAAGTTAAAATATTTCCCTCGAAACTGCCAAATCACCAATTAAACTTGCCTTCAATCACTGCAGCAAAACGAAAGAGCGAATGAACAGCTGGCGTTTAACGCCGAAATAGAGATAGAGATGAAGTGATATTTTTTGTTTGTTTGAAAGAAGAGAGCAAACGACTGTCAAACGCCAAACCCTTTTTTGTTTCCTCTGCGTAGCACAAATCATTCTCACGAAAAAGCCTCTGTTTGCTCACTCACAGAACACGGAAACCGATGCAAAATTCTCCCTTACACCGAGACGACGAAGAAATTTCAACGGAAACACGCTGGAGGAACACCAGATGTCACGCTCTGATATCTCTCTCCCCCTTACTCTCCCTAACTGTTTTCTCTCTTTCGTTCCTGCGTGAGCTGGTTCGCTACCTTTTTTCAAACACGCTTTCCGCCCTTATCTCCTTCCATATTGGAAGTGGGAGATATTATCCAACAGTCGGTATTTCTCTCCATGAGAACACAAAAAACTAAATTCATTTTGATACCCCAGTTATGAGATTTATTCTCCTTCTAAATATCAATATATGCATAATATTTTTACGAAAATTGTCAAGACTACCTATTTCCATGCGTTTACAATTGACCTAAATTACTTGAGATGGAAAATCGATAAAATCAATCAGTTAAATAAAGCCCAGGTGGCGAAATTGGGAAAAAATCAATATCAAATAATCGCTTTATAGAATTTTTAATATGGATAAAGTTAAAATTTGATAAAAAATGCATTAATCCAGCAAGTAAATCAAAAAATCAAATCTGTATTAATCATTATAAAAGTGGAGATGGTTAATTAAAAGGACAGGCATTCTTTATACAGAGAAAGGAATAGATAAGACGAGGGAAGAGAAAGTCTTGAAAACATTTAACTTATCAGACGTATATACTTACGAGCACACAAAATTCCTCATTACACGCGCATAACCTTCCAATTTTGATGTTCAGGTTTTTTTCAAATTTTGACACACTAGCACACGCGCTTGGGGCGGTATTAGTAGTTATGAAGAGAAGGTGTCAAGACGGAGAGTGGAAAAGGAAGGAAAGCTGGATAAAGAGGGAGGGGGGGGGGGGGGGGAGGGGGGGGGAAGGGNGAAAAGGGGGGGGGGGGGGGGGGGAGGGAGAGGGGAGTAAGGGAATATTTGTCTGAAGCAGCAATTAAATAAGCTCCACGCTGGCCCCACCAAATACCATCATGCGTCTGACAAGATAAGCCGAGGGTAAGAGCAGTTGGGGTGAGGTAAGGTCCAGAGTTTGACCATCCTGTCAGAATACCGATTCGCCATTGCTGAAGTTCAAAAGTGAAAGTGGACGAAGACAAATGGGAATTCGTCAGTCGGTAATATGACAGTCAATGTTTGCGAATACAAATAGTTTGCTAGTTGATGTTCCCTACAACTGCAATAAAACTTTCAATCTTATTACGCTTTGCTTAAATAAATAGTTGCTTACATGCATCGCCTGTTCATTTTTATCTTAACAAATCAAACTGTCTTCGTTAAGAAAATCCGAATGAGATAACTGAAATGCCTAGAACCTAGAATCAGGATTTAACGAAGCTGGAAATAAATAAAGTAAACCCGAACATTTTGAACGGATGAAAAGTGTTGAACTTTATTAATATTCAAAAAGGCACTTGTTTTCCAGTAATCTTCCTTGACTGCAGTCGTAAAAGCCCAGTAGGATCTTGGTTTACTCCAAATAAATTGCAAAGGCCGCAAAATAGCAAAAAATGAACGTGAAAGCGAGTTTATGTGGGTATGACTGAAAATCAAGGAAGGTGATTGACTGCTACACCTTGAAATCTTTGGTAAGGTGATAAATCCTGAAACTACACTTTGGAATATTCGATGAGTGGACTTCTGCATTAGATGAAAACCTAAAAAGTGCATTTAAAACATCGATTTTTGCTCATAATTACACCAAGCTTCTATTTAATCAAAATTTGCATACTTTTAGTCTTCAAACAGTTCCCCAGGATTGGTAACTATCTTTTTTTTAATAATTTTACACTACTCCATTACTTTGTAACTCATCTACCGTCTGCCAGCCACTTCTGCTGTCACGACAAGCCATCAAAGATACTTCTTTGCATAATTCACATGGAGCTGCCCTTTTAAGTTTGTCTTTGATGTAGTCTACCGTCATTTAGGCGACTGTCACAGATAAAGCACCAAATATCCACACTGCTAATCCACTCCGTAGATTGAGTGCCCTATTATTATTATTATTACTAACGGAGAATAGAGCAATTACAATTATGTATCAAAGAAAATTAATCCAAACATTTATTTATTTATTTATTTATATCAAATGGCAGGCGTTCTGATAGTTATCATTATCCCTTTAGTTGACTTCAGGCTTCACAGAGGGGAAGGAACATCAAAGTGGAAAAAAGTCTTGGGGGGGGGGGGGGAACAGAAGAGTGCTTCAAAGACTAAGGTAGAAAAAAGGTGAAGTGAGTACTGTGAAAGTAATCGAATATGGCATACAGTTGGATCATGGCAGTTTGAAGTCAGAAGTCAACTACCGATTGGGTCATGGTAGTTTGAAGTCAGAAGTCAACTGCCGGTTTTGGGGTGATGGCAGTTTGAAGTCAGAAGTCAACTGCCCATGGATAGACTTTTTTGCCGTATGAATATACGTTGCCCAGGGTGCCCCACGTGGAGGCGCATTATAATGGTTGAAATGAAGTGATTAGTGCGGGACAATAAAGCATAGAAATACGTAGGAAAAGCAAAAAGTACGAGGATCTATAAGTAAGCCCTAGGTTGAAAACTTCAACTTTGAGAGACGGCTAGGTGAATCGTTAGCTGAAATTATAATTTAATGTTTATACAATCCTGCCTGGAATAGCTGCGTTTTAGATTCAATCGAATGTCGATGTTTTTAGCTTTCAACGGCGGTGAGACGTTGATTATGCTCAACTTAGAACGTTTATTTCACGCGATAACTGAAGGCTGGCTAACTGATGCTGTTTTAGACATTCTTTCTTAGTAGCTTTTTCTTGATATATGATCAACTCTTTCAGAGCAAAACACCTTTGGAGAGAAACAGACAAACTGATATTCTCTTGGATTTCCCGTAACCAAATTTTTAAATCTTCCAATCAAAACCGTGCCCATAATTAGTGTTAAATAGTGAAGTAAAAGAGCGAGAGGGAGGGAGAGAGGGAGAGAGGGAGGGAGGAAAAGATGGAGTGAAGGCAAGGGAGAAGGAATGTGCAGTCACATTTTTTCGAAAGGGAGAGCTTATGCAACCACAACCGACACGCAGCAGGCGAAAACAGCAGACATTGCGTGCCTCGACTTGCGAAGAGGTGGCATTTTGACGTCGGTGCCTTGACGTGGTGCCGACGACGACAACTCCACGATGAATACTCTCGAGGAGAAAGAGGAGGCATTAGTGCGTAGGCGACATAACCGAGCCTGCCTAACTTCCTGCCTGAAAGCGAATCGAAGAGGAGGCAAAAGAAACAGCGGACTGCTTATCAAAAGTAACTCGCTCGGTACTGCCTCGTGCGCGAACTGCAGTTTGACAGGGGTGTAGAAGGAAGGGGTGACCAAGGGAGAAGAGGCGGAATTATATGTGGAAGGAGAGGTGAGGGAGTTGGGGACAGTGTCAAAATTTGACCACGTCAAGAACGCGAGCGCATTTTCCCGCTTGGTTGACTGTTGAGTGGGAAAAAAAACGTAAAGGTACGTGCGCTTACTGCCCCCTATACGTGTTTTAAACTCCTGATGCTCAGCTCCGCGTATTTACTGTCTGGAAGGAGTTCTATTTATAATATTCTATCCATTTGTGCTTTGAAGAAGGGCTCATGAAAAATACGATAGATTAGTGCACCTCATGCTTTAATGATTTAACCAATATTTTTGAGCAATCTAGTTCAAGGGTCTTTTAGGAAACTTTATAAAATCCCATAGCAGAGTTAAAGAATCCAAAATTTAAAGTCTCACCTGTTTCATCTGGTAATGAGCACGTTTTTGAAACATCTTTATTATTATTTTACATCAAATGGCAGGCGTCTTGATAGTTATCATTAGCCCTTTAGTTAACTTCAGGCTTCACATAGAGGAAGGTACATCAAATTGAAAAAGTCGAAAGGGGGGGGGGGAACAGAAGAGTGTTTCAAAGATGTAAAAGAGGCAGACACAATGGTAGAGAAAAAGGTGAGATGAATACTATGGAAATAGACGAATATGGCATAGAGTGAGGTGATGGTAGTTTGAAGTGAGAAGTCAACTGCCAGTTTATAGACTTTTTGCCGTATGAATATACGTTGCCCAGGGTGCACCACGTGGAGGTA